GGAGGGAAAGAAAGAAAAGAAAAAAGAAAAGAAAAGAAAAGAAAAAGCCCTTCAGCTGAAAGTTGCACTGCCAATTCTCTCTCAAAGCACTGACCCAAAAAGGGGTACCAGCAGAGAGGCTCAGAAGATCTTCTCAGTCCACACCAGGAGACCAGACCTTTCTCAGTGCAGGGAGAAGGATGAGCTGAATGAGGAATACTCACTCATAAGGCAGTTAATCCAGAGGGTGACAGAAACATTACAAATGTGATGCCCTTGAAATGGAACTCCTCTTTGGAGTGTGGAAGCCCAGTCATACACAACCCACTTGGAGCAGGAAGGAAATTGTATTTGAGGATGTTAAAGTCAAGCTAAATTTTATTAAAATTGCCTCAGGAGGCCATTCATCGCCACTTCACTTATCCCACTTTAAAGCCTACTTCCCGACACTCAGATATTTACTTGTGGAGTGATTAAGTTCTCTTTTGTCTTTTCTATGCTTTCATTAGATGCTCTTTTTCTCTTTTTTGCTTACAAAAAGGTAGATTTTTTCAGTCAAATGTCAATATGTCAAACACCAAGTATTCATTCCCTTGCAATGCACAGTGTTTATACTTACATACCCTATTATAACAAATGTAATATTATTTAATTATGCAGCAAACTTACACATAATTGGTGAACCAGGTCTAAAGAATATTCTATACAGGAAGCATACAGTATTCAGCTTAGTTGAGGCCTTTGTTAATATGCAAAGTTGCAGGTGCCACATTAGGGAATTTTGGGGAAAAGGAAATGCAAACTTATTTGGCAGGAAAACAAGAGAAATGATTATATCTTATGGCACTTTTTTGGCTGGACACATTTAGATGCCTCTGTCACACCACCCAGAAGCCATGGTGTTGGGGGCTGAGGCAGGAGCTCCTTTTGCCACAGGAAAAAGGATGAAACCAGAGACATTGTGAGAGGTTGCCCCAAAGTCTTTAGGTTCCCTGAAACCTTAGGTTTTTTTGAACCCATTGTCCAATCTGTTGAAAGTTAAATAATACGTTGTTCAAAATTGCATAGGTAAAGCACAGAATGGCCAAAGGGTCAGAACTACAGCAACAGGTAGGTCCCATTCTCTGCCTTTTCACTCTGCAGCTGGGGATCAAGATCTGTTTATTTGTGCCTTAAATAGGTCAAAGTGAACTTTTTGAAAATATTATTTTGGTAAATAAAAATTCCTGGTCGTGCTAATTATGGCTGTTTTGACCTGTTTCTTTCAGATACCATTGTTCTTATCGCTTCAATAGCAGTTGTTTCTGCAAAAACTCAGGGTAATATTTTTGCCACGTCTGCACTCAGAAGTCTCCGTTTCCTACAGATCCTCCGCATGGTGCGCATGGACCGAAGGGGAGGCACTTGGAAATTACTGGGTTCGGTGGTTTACGCTCACAGTAAGGTAAGATTTGCTCTCTGCGTTTAAAAAACAATTTTTGAAACTTTTTCATTGATTGCTGTAATATTTAATAAACCTATCACAAGCAAACTTAGTCATTGCAGAAATTGGTTAAAACAATTTTGGGACATGATGTGCAATGGATTATTTAAGAGCCATCATAAACATCCAAGAAGTAGTAAAGTGAATAGAATCATCATAGAATTATTTTTTCCTTTTTCAAAGATTTCCCACCTCTAAAAATCTTTCATTCCTTTTATACCTAGGAATTAATCACAGCTTGGTACATAGGATTTTTGGTTCTTATTTTTTCATCTTTCCTTGTCTATCTGGTGGAAAAGGATGCCAATAAAGAGTTTTCTACATATGCAGATGCTCTCTGGTGGGGCACAGTAAGTATACAAATATGTTTTTATTTATTGCATGTTGTGAAATTTTTTTTTTAATACAATGTAATGGTTCCTATGGATGGTCTCAATAAAAATATCCACTTGCAAAAGAGTTATATGGAAAATACATACTACTTATTATTGTCTAAAGGCTTTCCACATCTTTCTGGGCCAACTAAGTTGTCTTGTAAACCATCATTAATATTCCTTGAGTGCTAGATTGTTGCCAAAATTAAAAATACATAAAATATATAAATATATATCATTTTTTAAATGGTGATTAAAAACATTGATAGTTTATCTGTTTGAACTTTGTGGAGCACAAATTTAAATTATCAATTGTTGCATTGATTTTCCACCCTTTAAAAGTTTATCTGGGGTTAAAAAATGAATGAAAGCTGTGAATAAAATTACAGCACAAAGAAATGAAAAAGAAGACTGGTAACCATCTGTGAGATCAGAGATTATAGTCACCTAATTTCAAAACTTTCCTCTTAAAACCTACTTTTTCTTTAAATTGTTATTAAAGGATAATTTTCCAAATAAATAAAGTAAAATCATGATTCTCACAAAGATAGAAAATGAACACATGCTAAACATTCATTTAACTCATTTTTGAAATTTAAGTCATTATTAATGAAGAAACCAGTAAGATGTTAAAACCAGTTCAAAGCACTATCCAAAGAACAGAAACATTTAAAGATCAGGAATATGAAATCAATGTGCAAATAGAGGCAAAACTGGCTCCTTCCGCAGTGTGGGAGGGAAGTCAGTTCAACCTCCACTAGGCAGAATTTATTTACATGTCCATAGGCAAGAATTATTTCGCATTGCTACCAGTTATCAACAACTTACAGAGTTGTAAAATAGCTCAAAGACTATGAAAAGAGCAGAGCCCCGTAAAGTCAGAATCCAAAAACCTGGAAGGGTGTACTCTGAACAACGCAGAGTTTTCCACTGAAGCAAAAATTTTCCCTGCATTGTAAAGAATTTATAAAACAGTCATTGGAACTTGTGCCCTAATAAGAATGTCATGGGATATAGGAGTGACATAAAAAGAAATGTGTAAATTATACATTTATTTTTATTTTATTCCTTTAATGTATTCCAAAGGGGAGTTATATGAAAATAATTATAGCCAAGCATGGTGGCTCACGCCTGTAATCCAAGCACTTTGGGAGGCCAAGGCAGGCCAATTGCTTGAGCTCAGGCGTTTGAGACCAGCCTGGGCAACATGCCAAGACCCCATCTCTACATAAAATACAAAAATTAGCCAGGTGTGGTGGCACGCTCCTGTAGTCCCAGCTGCTTGGGAGGCTGAGGTGAAAGGATCATTTGAACCTGGAAGGTAGATTATAAATGCTTATCTAAAGAATGTCCGTAACATTTTGGTCCAAAAAAACCCTTAAGTTCTCTTTTAAACCACCTTTAGTATTTCTTGAGTTCTGGATTGTTGCCAAAATAGAAATATATCATTTTCTTAAGCTGTGATTTAAACAATGATAAGCTTTTTGTTTGTTTAGTGAAGCACAGATTTAAGTTACCAATTCTTGCATTGTTCCACTACTCATCAAAAACTCATCAGCAAGACCCAGAACACTTGTCAGAGATGAGGAAAATTTGTTAGGGCTGTATTAAGCAGAACTTGTTGTATTTGTTGATTGCACAGCAGCAACAAAATGAATAAAAATCAGAAATACATTCACCTAAAGATTTGAATTTTTTTCTTAGGTTATCTAAGTAAATGTCTACAAGATTATGCCATTGGTTTCAAAGGATTCTGTTGGTTTAATAATGTGGTTTCCGGCTGCTCTTCGCTATTCACAAGCAATAATGGGCATTTTGAAAGAAGAGTGGAAACTTGAAAGAGAGCAGTCATCTGACATTCTTAAAATACTTTTTATATGTAGAGAGCAAATGAAAATCTGTGACTCATGATGGGATAAACTGTAAACTGAGAAAACAGGAGGCTTTTCTTGCCAGTAAGGGGAAGACAGTTTATCATCCCAGCCTTCAAAGCAATGGTTTGAATTCAAGTTTAATTTTGCTTCTCTTGGATAATTCTAATATATTTAACTTACTGAGGCACCCAGGTGCCCCTTTTCCCATTGAGATGCAGTTGTTGGTGAGTTTAGCCTGGCAGCTTATTATCCTTCTTTTTATTAGTCTTCCTTTTCCCCTTATGACGAAAAAGAATTGCTGTATTGTGTGTTAAACAGTGTGTGGGAAACTCTTAATATACCTCTCAGTTAGTCACCAGTTTGTTTCTTTTGCCAGAATAACCCACACAGCAGGTTTTCAAAGGTCATTTCTGTGACTTTCGGGGGAAGAAACATTTTCATTGATTTCCCTTTCAGTTGTGCTAATTTGACTGACATTTAACCCGTACTTAACAGGTTTCTGAATGACCTAATTATGTTTCTATTTTTTAAAAAAAATCTAGTCTTGAATATGAGAGTAAAAATCTTATAAGATGTCAAACTTCGAAGAATTTTTTTAAGGCCTTATTGGTCCATAGCAGGTTTGCTGATATTAACGGACTCATTAATGAAATTGTCTGAAACCTAAAAAGACAGAAAAAGCAAACAAGAGAGCTCATTGTTTCTATTCATTTTAAGAAGAACATATTCTAGATTCCTAGTGGGAAATAAAATAAATTTAGACTATTATACCTTTTATTTATACATTAATCAAGACCTTAGTTTTGATTAATTTGGTTTGAAAATTATGGTTGGGTATTTCTGAGTTAAAATTGCCCATGTTGCACTTAATGGAAACCTTAATAACTATGGAAGTATCCAGAATAAATAAGGAAATGACAGCATCCTAAGTGAGAGTATTTCTAAATGTTACACTGTGATGAAAAAAGGAAATCCCCTATATTAAAAGAACCCACAGTATCAACATTAAGTATCAAAATATAGGTTTTGTTCTACAGATATGCTGCGCCAGTGAATTTTCAATACTCACTATGGAACTGCTTCGGTTAAGATAGTGAGATCTGTCCCCTAGATCAACTTTTGGAGGGCTATCATGGTGGGATCAGTGCTGCTCCAAGCCAGTAACAATTCAAAGAACTGTGATCCCTGAAAGCGGTTTCATATTAGTGAAACTAGCTCATTGAGTAAGTGAAATAGATATAAAAGACCTGGTACCAAGAACATAGCAAGTGCCCAATCAAATATGATAGCTGCTGTTTGTGTAGACATCGTTGCTGTGGAAGTTAAATGAAAGCACCTTTAATACAAAAGGAAGAAAAAAAGACTTATGTGTTTTGATGCAGACCCACAGTTTGAACATAGAAGAGGCTTGGGAACTGGAGGTTGTGATGAAAAGATATCCTGGGTTCTGATGTGGCAACTAAAGTTGCATTGATGGCAGAAAATGGAAAAGGGAAGTAGCTCCAGTAGCTGAGGCACTGGGAGCTACTGGAAAAGGGGATCTTCTGATTGCTGGTGGAGCTCCATTTATTTTCGTTTTCTATTGTTATTGTTCTCATTTTTGGTTGTTCCAGATTTCTTCTGAAATAATTTAAGAGTGGGTTTCCCTGGAGTTATTTTCTGTTATTAAATCCTTCCTGTTATTATGTTTCTCCTTTTGATCTGCTTTAGATTTATTCTGAAATAACTTCAGATCAGGTTTTCCTGAAGTAATTTTTCCTGATAATAACCTCTTCTTGAAGGCCAGTTTGTCCTCCTTCTATTTACTGCTGTTACTGTGATGAAGATAGTGTTGTGGGGTTTTATTTTTAAAAGATGCATACAGCAGCAGATAGTATAAATCTACTCTTGAGTAAGCATCTGAATACAGACTTCACCTAAGACCCTGTGCTTGAAGTGAGTATTTCAGGGATGTAGAAGAATTTTATGTCAGCCAGAGTTAGTCTGAGAATTCATGCAGAAAAATCTTACAGTCTTTCTAGAAGCAAACCATATGGATGGTTCTATGTATATAGTATACTGTGCACTCAACATGTACATCCCAAATATATGCCTTGAGTTTCATCCTCCTGTAAAATCTAAGAGTAAGAAATTGTGTAAATTTTTGGAATAAACACGGATACTCTTGTCCTGATAGTACCAGGACCCTTCAGAGAATCAACTCTTCTTACATTGGGTTTACCATTACCAAACGTTTCTACAACATCATCTAAGCTGATGTTTCCTGAATTAATGCTGGCATGTTAAAGTTAAAATTACTTCTTGCTACCAATGCATTATCTGATGGTATCAAAACTTTACTTGGCCGTGAAAGGAATAACACACTGGCTCCTAACTATTCAAGATTATTATCAGTTACCAAGCAAAAATGGAGACACACATACCCCAGCCTCTACCCACCAAAACATTCAAACTATTATGAATATCTACAAGTTCCATGCCAACCTATTGGCATGGATTTGTGAAGTAGATTATCATACGCCTCTTTGGGGGAACTCTTTCTTAATGAGAATCTAAAGTAGCATTGATGACAGAGTATTTCTTCAATGATGTTATCTCACACATGCCTCTGGGCACTTTTTATCAGTTATTATTATTCTATCGGCATTGAGCACATGCTGTTTTGTAAAGAATAGAAAAATTGGGGTCAAGAGACCTGGGTTCTGGCCCTAACATTATGATTTCATGGAGGTGTGTTATTAAGCAGTCATTAACATCTCTGTAAAATTGAGATATCCTCCAAACACAAAGTTGCTATCTGTATAAAATGAGACTAGGACATGTAGATGTGCTTTATCAAGCACTAGGTAAATGGTAGTCATTACTGTTGTTACACCACCGTCCGAAAAAACAAGATGGAATGCTAGTGCCGAGCTACCTGCCACAGCGGAACCCAAATTTTATGATGCCATCACCGCAGGAGATTCTGTTTGAAGATGTACCTACTAGTTCTGACATACTAGTTCAAGGCAACTAAATTTCAAAATTGACTGCACAATTTCTATGACCACCTACTATCTGATACTAGGTGAATCACCTTTCCTTAAAAGACTCCTTTATGGG